TCCTTTCTCTTTCTCTTTTTCTCTGTCCTGTCTCTCTTCTTCTCTCTCCTCTCTCTTGTCTCTATGTCTCTGTCTCTGTCTCTCTCTCTCTCTCTCTCTCTCTCTCTCTCTCTATCTCTCTCTCTCTCTCTCTCTTCTCTATCTCTCTCTCTCTCTCTCTCTCTCTCTCTCTCTCTCTCTCTCTCTCTCTCTCTCTCTCTCTCTCTCTCTCTCTCTCTCTCTCTCTCTCTCTCTCTCTCTCTCTCTCTCTCTCTCACGACAAAAACTTCTAGGCAGGTCTAGACCCTTCCGACTAATGGGTCATTAAACTGACTTGGAAGGTCAACGTATGACCTATGTATGATCAACGATTGGCCTATGATCTGGGTATCATCATCTGGGTATCATCGGCTTCCTCTCGTCACGTGCAACATGCTCCTTCTTTTCAAGAAGCTCTAGTTTGAGCAAAAGCCGATTAACTGTGGGGTCTGATCCATCCCCGCCCAAACGTTAGCGCCTGCGAAAACGCCGATATGGGTGCGAGTTATGGCATATTCCTATATAAACAATGTAATGTTTTGCCTTTTTTAGTGGCTAACATCGATTTTATCCTAAAAATAACGCAAAAATCAGCATACAGTGATGCTACTTAAAGGGACCATCCCACCTTCAAAAAAGTTAATGAATTGGCATGAAAGTGATGTCGCTCGGTTCAGAAAGAGCAAAAACGAATATCTACCAAATTTCATCGAAAAATATTCACCGGTTTTCAAGATATTAGACTTTTACTTTTGTTTACTTTTTGGGATCTCCGCTGTTCCTAGCGACTTTATTTGAAAGTGCGGCATTTGTTGCGCGCAAAGCAGCATATACCACCGCGTGCTACAAAACGTTTTAGTCAAACATTTAACGGACGTTCGAAAGCCTGATGACGTCATCAGATTCCCGTAATGGTTAAGAGATAGGGACCACGCTGGTCCCACCCTGCAAGTAAAGGGAAGAAATTTCTTGAACACCATAAAGCTGCGGGGGTTGCGACCAGGATAAATGGTGATTTCTGAGCCTGGCCGCAAACTTGGCTATCTCAACTCAAAACTAATGTTAAGGTGGGAGGGTCCCTTTAAACTTTTACGCCTAGTTTCCTTTTTAATAATGCTGCAATTGCATTCATGCAACATATTTCTTGATCAGTTTTGTGACAAAGTTTTGGAAACATAGTGCGGCAGAAAGCAAAACTTTGTTGTGAAACGACCTCCAGCCTCAGCAGGTCACGGTTAACCCACGCCCCGTTGGGCGGTGGGCAATAAAGCCCCCTGTGTATTTTCCTGAATAGCAAGAAAACGGCGGCGCGCAGCCCCGCCAAATTTTCAATAGCTACCCGGGCATCAATTTAACACCTTTACACAAAACTTCAAGTCTTAGGTTACCCTAGGTCAGGAGTTATTGAGGTCAAACTGAGGTCATGTTCGAGCAAAAATGAGCAAAAAACATTAAATCTTGAAACGCTCACAAAAGCTACAGTTAACAAGCAATTTCAAAGCTCTATATCTGGTCGTGTAGAGAAAAAACGGCGCAGAAATTTGATCTAATTTGACCTGACCTTTACCTGACCTTCACCAGAACATAACCCAAACTGGCCCCCAAGGGTTGCCTGACCCACATAATCGCATTTGTCATGTAAAATGGACCAGAAAACATGCATCACATGATAGTTATCTTCATATTGTGACCCTCAGTGACCTGAACTCTGTGACCTGACGCATCAGTGACCCCAAATAGCAAAATATGTGTTTGACGAACAATTCCCCACCGAAAATAATTGTTATTCATCGATTCCTTTTCGATGAATGACATGCATTTTACTCGATTTTACAACACATTTCTTGAAATGCTTGTAATCGGTGAAAATTCGACATTCGACCTGAAGTGTGACGTCATCGGCTTGACCGAGGTCAATGAAATTGAGCCAAAAGGTATTTCCTCGTTGGGGCCATCCAACACCGTTTGCTGCTTGTCGTTATTTTGCGTGGTTCTCGAGATCTTACGGGGGGGGGGGGGCACAATGCTCCCCCCAATGGGACCGATGCTCGGAAGACCCTAAGGGGGCGCGGGTTAAATGACAGACCTGTTCCCAAGAAATAACATTACAGTCGTCTCCCGGCCTCGGCTAAAACGTTCGACCACTACCTATGAATCGGCACGCTGCCGGCTCACCCCGCCCGCTGGCTACGGGTGGCCTTGACCGTTCAATGCCGATTGGCCAACGGCCGAGGTCGTGCGCTGGTCAGCACGCAGAGAGGGCGGGACCCGGTACTGCACATTGTGAGTGACCTCTGACCTTTCCCCGTCCCCTGACCGCTTGCCGTGCCGCCGGCCCAGACGATAGAAACCGGTTTTAGCCTCTACGCAGGCTGCCACTCTAACCCTTCCCTCCCCACTTTACTATGTGCCGTAGTACGCACTCGCGAGTAACTGGGCGGAGCAAATGGTCACCGATACAGAGGCGGAACTGGTTGCCCTCCCGCTCGCCGAGCGACCTACCGCTAAAACCCGCGAGACCTGTACCAGGACTGTCGGCGCTCTCATGTACCCGATCAGTCGAGACTGTCTAACGTACCAGAGCAGACTGCAGCCTAACGTACCGGAGCAGACTGCGGCCTAACGTACCGGAGCAGATTGCAGCCTGACGTACTGGAATAGACTGCAAACTAACGAGCCGGAGCAGACTGCGGTCTACCGGACCAGACTGGGGTCTACCGGAGCAGACTGCACGCCACTATAATGTACCGGAGCAGACTGCGGTCTACCGGAGCAGACTGCACGCCGCTATAACGTACCGGAGCAGACGAGGTTGCGGCAGAGGCCGGCGCGGAAGTCGTGGAAGACCCGGTTGCGGTGCGACTGCTGCATACGCGCGTGGATGTAGTAGCACGAGTAGCCCAGCTCGGTGATTTTCTTGGCCAGCAGCTCGACGCGCTGTGTGCTGTTGCAGAAGATGATGCTCTGGTTGATTTGAAGCTGAAACATAGAACGCCGACCAGTTAATAATCACCTCCCAATTTTATTTACAGTAGGTAGCCGACAAGCGGGTACAGACACTACCTACCCCATAACGTGTCGCCGAGTAAAATCAATTTTCACATTATCGGCAACGCGCCTAGAAAGGCCGGAGCCAGAATCGTTGTGAATTAATGATCATCTACCCTGCACCAGTCATCTGTCAAGGCGCGATACAGTCGCCACCCGAGTCACTGCTATCTATCAGCCACCTCAGTCAGCCACCTCGGCCACACGGGCGAACACAGTGTCACCCAGTGAACCTAGTCCTAGTCGGTGACAGTGTGACCCAGTGACGGTGACACCGACAGTGCCTAGTCGGTGCTACCTCGGCCACACGATCGGCCACACGATACACAGCGACACCGGCCCGCCGAGTCGGTGCCACCTCGGCCACACGATACACAGCGACACCACAGCCCCGCCGAGTCGGTCCCACCTCGGCCACACGGGCGAACACAGCGACACCCAGTCGGTGCCACCCGAACCACCGAGGACAGCCCGGGAACGGACCGGGCCGCGGCCTCCCTACCTTGGAGAAGAGCGTGTTGAGGCAGTGCACCTTCTGCTTCTCCTGGACGAAGGCGTAGTACTGTGTGACGCCCTTCAGCGTCAGCTCGTCCATCAGGTTGATCTCGTACGGCTCCCGCAGGTGTTTCCGCTGACGGGAAAGGTCGGGGGAGGTCAGACGGCGGCCCCGTGCAGGTCAGGTCGGTCCGAGGGCGTCTCCCGGGGGAGGTCAGAGTCGGTCAGACGGCGCTCTCCCGGGGAGCGGCGCTTGCTGTCCGCTTGCTGCGGACAGCAAGCGGTCCGCAGAGTTTCCCTGCTCCCGTTCCGTTCTCTGGGAGGAGTATAGGCTCGGAGCGCCCAGCCAATGTCACCCACCACCCCAATGTCCCTTCAGCCCGCACGTAGTCGCCCTCACACATACGGACAGTGGATCAGTACAGTCACGCGACGGTCGAGACCAATCAAGGATATATTTCTGGGTACGCACAGAGTGGACTAGAGCACCATTTCAGTCAGATAAGATAGCTTTGCCACAATTCGCCGCCATTCTGCCTATTCTGGACTGGGACCGCCGACGCCCCACAAATACATCGCAACACTCGGCGAACACCAGGTGGGCGGCCACTCAAAATTAATTGGCGACTGTGAGCGGGATGGTGGGGATTTAGACCCATACACTACTCACCATGAACTGTTCGACTGTGAGCGGGAAGGTGGGGGTTTGGACCCGTGCACTACTCACCATGAACTGTTCGACTGTGAGCGGGAAGGTGGCCGAGAAGAGCAGCACCTGCCGCGACGCCGGCAGGAACGAGATCAGACGGTCCAGCATGCCCTTAAAGTCCTGCGAGAGCAGCTTGTCCGCCTCGTCGAGCACGAGCGTCTTGCAGTGGTCCATCTTGCACACCTGCTTCTCCATCAGGTCCAGGATGCGGCCCGGCGTGGCCACGATCATGTGCACCTTCTGGTAGATGCGCATGATGTCGTCCTTGAGCACAGTGCCGCCCGTGGTTACCATCACCTTGGTGCCCACGTGTTTGGCCAGCTCGATGCATATCTGACTAGTCTGCAGAGCCAGCTCGCGGGTTGGCACCATGATTAACGCTGCCGAACAGAGCACCGGTCAGCAGCGGCGCGACACCCGCCGGGAGCGGCGGCCGGGACCGGGGCGAGCGGGACACTCGGCAAGTGGTCCGCAGAGCGATACTGGGCGGCCGGGACCGGGGCGAGCGGGCCACTCAGCGAGTGGTCCGCAGAGCGATACTGGGCGGCCGGGACCGGGGCGAGCAGGACACTCAGCAAGTGGTCCGCAGAGCCATACTGGGCGCCAGAATAGTACACGGAACTCCAAAACATCAACAGACACCTGCCAAATTGATGGAGACGTGTGAAACGACGATTATTACTTCCTAATGCACCTCATCTTCCTACACCACTGCTGTTGATGCAAAAAGAGACTAAAAATAGAATAGTTATACTACAGCCCCCCCCCCCCCCCCACACACACACACAGAGAAGCACCCAGCGTAACGAACGACTGGGCGCCGCCCTGCAGCGCCACCTACCCTGGATGGCGTCGATTTTCGGGTCCACCTGGCTGAGCACGGGGATGCAGTAGGCGCCCGTTTTGCCCGTGCCGTTCTTGGCCCGCGCGATCACGTCTCGGCCGCTGAGTGCCTGCGGGATGCTCGCCTCCTGGATCGGCGACGGCTTTTCCCAGCCCTTCTCGAAGATACCCATCAGCAGTTCGCGCGACAGACAAAAGTCCTCGAACTCGTTGCCCTTGGTGGCGGTGACGTCGCTGGTTCTCACCCGCCGGTCCCGCTCCGGCAGGTTCAGCTGCGCCTTCCATCCGCCGTCCGCCTCCTTACCCCTGCGGGCAGACAGACAAGGTCAGAGGCCGGTCCACTCCGCCTCCTTACCCCTGCGGGCAGACAGACAAGGTCAGAGGCGGGATCAGTCCGCCTCCTTACCACTGCGCAGATAGTGTCAGAAATTGTATCCTTTTAACCCCATGCCCACTTGTGAGGTCGGCACCCATGCCCTTTCGTGAGACACATGTAACATGGTCGAAAGAAGTCATTCGAGGGCCAATTAATTTCAGTTGTGTGAAACGCAGAAATGGCCAACAAAATGCACGTTCTTCATTATTAACGGATACAATCACTCGATCGTCTAAACCGAGTACACGGCTGCGGCTGCCGCCTGCCACAGACCGCTGATTGAGCCGCGCCTTGCGGAGAGCAGAGAGCAGGCCGATAGCGCCCCCCCCCCCCCCACCCCACCCCAACTCCCTCCCCGGCGCGGCGGGTGGAGCCCAGGCCCAAGCCAGCTAATCGCAACTCAAGATGTAGTCCGTCCCATGTGCATGTTGCAAAACGCCAGGTGGGCGTAGCGGAATGCTGGTCCGCTACTCCGTGTTCACAGACAACCTGTTTGGTTGCAGAGTTGCGGAGTAGCGGAAACTACTCCCCAATCAGAAGTAGTGAGTAGCGGAGTCACATTTTTATAGTTCGAAAAGCAGATTGCGGCAGAGAAAAGATAACTTCTATATTATCGGAGGCTGTTCAAGAGTACCCGTGGAGCAGCTGGCTACAAAGTCAACAGTTGAATACAGATTTGCTGCACATATCCAAGGTTTATTCCGGCAAGCAGTTCAAACCGAGGTTTAAACAGACATCGAATGCATACAAAAGCAGCGGTGAAGTAAATGTTACACGGTATTTAGTATTACACAGAATAGGTACCTTATGTAACTTATCAAGACACCAAAACTTCCAGGAAGTGTTTTCTCAACTCGGTGACGCAGTGAGAAAGCAATGTTGGCCACCCTTCATCCCGGCTAGCAACAAACGGCTTATAAAAAAAAACTAATGTGCAACCGAAACTCATCAAAGCTGTTCGCCGCATCCCCCAATACATGATCAGTCTGCAATCGCTGGCGGCTGGAATAACAATAAATATTCGGTACAGGTGCGATATACGTGTATATGTGGGCAGGTAGCTTCGGCTACATGAATGGAAACCCATAAAAATGCCGGATTACGAACTCCCGAATTATAAGCGATAGGCTGCTAGGATAGGAAGTCATTAAAGCTTACCACTACCGTCTGTGTTTCCACCAAATAATCTAGCGAAAAAGTATGCCAGCGTAGAGCGGAATATACTGATTCGGTCGCCGCTGGGCAGCGTCCGTCTCGCTCGCAGTCTCCGCAGACAGTTGGGCTGTCTCTCGGCTCCGCGCCCTACTCGTGCGGGTAGCCGTGCGCGCCGGCTGCCAGCGCGCCCGACATCACATCCGAGAGCCGCTCCAGGGTGCGGTGCAGCCGCATGGCCGGCGCGCCCGGCTGGCTGCGGTGCAGCAGCTCCAGCACGGCCGCGTACTCGGCCTCCGTGAAGGCGGCGCCGCGCTCGCGCACCGCCGCCAGCACCTCGTCGCTGTCCTTGAGCAGGAGCTCGTAGTAGGCGCGCGCCTGGTCCAGCGCCACCTCGCGCGCCATCGTCAGGCTCGTCATGCTCTGCTGCAGGCTCAGCACGTCGCGCACCATCTTCTTGACGCCGTTCTCGTTGACGCGCTGGATGTGCGGCAGGTCGGCGATCAGCAGGTTCGACACCAGCGGCGCCAGGCCCTCGAAGATGTAGCGCAGTTTGCGTTTGCGCAGCGCCGTCTGCAGCACGTCCATGATGGAGGAGAGGTCGCGGTTCAGCCGACTCACCTCCGGGTCCGGCTCAGAGCTGTCCAGGTTGGGCGCGAACTGGCCCTGGCGCGTCAGAGGCAGCAGGTGGAAGAAGCAGTGGACGCGCACCTCCAGGTGCAGCACGAGCAGGCCACTGTCGGCCAGCTCCTCCAGGTCGCGGCCGAGCTGCGTCAGCGTCTGCGCAGACGACTCGGGCACGGCGCCGGACTCGGAGAGGTCGGCCGCCATGTTTTGCACGTAGCCGCCCAGCCACTCCAGGCTCTCGTGCAGCCAGGCTAGCTGGCGCAGCAGCTGCACGTCCGCGATCACCTCGCCTGGCCCGATGTCGCCGTCACCCAGGTTGCCGGAGAGGATCTCGGTCTCGCGCCGGTTGCGCTCGCGCACCTCCTCTGGTGACTCCTCCACGGACAGGTCTTCGGCACCGGCGGCGGCGGCGGCCGCCGCGCCGCCCTGCTTCTGGTTCAGCCAGTTGGGCAGCTCGCGCAGGAAGCGGCTGATGTCCTCGTCGTGCGCCCACTGGGCAGAGACGACGGCGCGTCCGTCCTCTGCCTGGGTGAGGCCGCGGTACTGCTGGCCGCACGCCTCCTTGTACTGCACCAGCACGCCGCAGATGATGGACAGGAAGTGGTTGCAGTAGTCGGGCAGCGACGTCATCAAGGTGCGCAGCGAGGCCACGAAGCGGCGCACCTGGACGGCCGACTGCAGCAGCGGCTTGGCGGCGCCCAGTGCCACCAGCTCGGCCGGCTCCTGGACCGTCTTCCAGCCGTCCATGCGCGTCTCGGCGAGCAGGGCGCCCTCAGCGCGCAGCTGGCCCAGCAGCTCCTCGCTGATGTAGTCGTTGATGAAGCTGTGCAGCGGACAGTGCGAGGTCTGGCCCAGCTTCTCCTCGATCTCGGCCGCCAGCCGCATCAGCGGCGGGTAGAGCAGCGTGATGTTGAGCGGGTCGGCCGGCACCAGGCGGCGCCGCTCGCCCGGAGACGCCAGCAGCGCCGCGCCTTCGCCGCGCTGCCGCGACAGACGCGCCTTCTCCTGCAGGTACGCGCCCATGTTCAGACTCGTCGACGACGCGTCAAAATTGAACAGCTGCCGCGTGCGGACGCGGGGCGGCCGTTTGCGCATAAAGTGGCTGGAGAGCTCGGCGGCAGTCTCTGTGCGCGGCGTCAGAGGCGTGTCGGCGGCGGCCGCGCCGCCCGCGCTCGGCACATCCAGGTACTCGGATGTAACCAACTTCAGCACGTCCTGGATGCGCGCCCAGACGTCGTCCATGCTGTACAGCGCAATGGTGTCCAGGCCGCGGGAGGCGGCTGAGCGCCGGAACGCCACCAGCACCCGCTCGTGAGTGGCGGCCACGGCGCGGAACTGGTCGGCCACGGCGTCCACCAGCTGGGAGAGCAGCGCCTGGCCGTCGGCCGGCTGCACCAGCGCCGGCCCGATGGCGGGCGCCACCACCTGCACCGACCGCTGCTCCTGCAGCGTGCGCGACGTGCGGGCCACCACAGACAGCAGCTCAGACTCCATGCGCGACAGCACCGCCTCCACCGTGTCGGGCAGCTTCTGCAGCCGCGTCAGGCACTCGACCAGCACGGCCGGGTGACTGGCGCCGTCGCCGCCGTCCAGCGCCTCCAGCTCCTCCTCGCCGCCGGCCGGGCCGCCCAGCAGGCCGGAGATGTCCACCAGCGGACGGCGCTCGCGCTCCCGCGCCGACGAGCGGCCAGAGCTGCGCTGCTCGTCGCCGCGCTCGGAGCCGGCGCGGCCCGAGCAGCGTCCGCTGCCGTGCCGCTGCAGCGCCGCCAGCGCCGGCTGCGTGCTCTGCTCGTACAGGTGTCGCTGCAGCTCGTCGGCCAGCCGCTCGTGCAGTCCGTCGGCCAGCGCCTCTAGCTCGGCGCGGACCTCCTGCAGCGCCTGCACCCCGACCAGCTGGCCGTCCAGCAGCGCCAGACCGTCCGTCAGACGGCGCGTGGCCCGGTAAAACTCGCGCCGCTGCATGTGAGACGACACAGCGTCGGGCAGCCCGCGCAGCTCCTCCACCTTCTCCAGCAGCGACAACATGTGCTTGTGCTCGACGCCCTCCTGCCAGAGCTTCTTCAGCTCGTCGCGTTTGCAGTGCAGCAGCATCTTGCAGTTGACCAGGTTCTCGCGCACGGTACGCATCCGGGTCCGCGTGGCCGAGATGCGTCCGGAGACGTTCTCGTAGAGCTGCATGGCGCGCCGGAGCTCGGCCTCGTGGTGCGACACCAGCTCCTGCAGCTGCTGCTCGCTGCGCTGGTACTTGTGCTTCAGCGCGCCCAGCCGCTCGCGGAACTCGTCCGGGTGCGTCAGCGACAGGTGGTCCAGCTCTCGCAGCAGCGTCTGGCCGCGCTGCGTCGTTCTGCAACACGGGAGCGGGCCAGCGTCACTGCGTGCCTCGGCCGCGCACCGACCCGCTCCCGTGTCACCGGCCGCCGGCCGACGGCCGACGCGCCGCCGATGTTGCCCGGGCGCTGTTTCACGGCCCTACGCTACAGTAGCAGCGCGCTGCTGTATTGGTGCGGCGTTCGGAATTCAGCTCGACCCTTCAGCATTGCGAGCTTCCGAATTTGTTTCCATGGAAACCCAACGCGCCGCTACGCGCAGCGCGCTGCAGCGCAATGCCGTGGAACACTAACCAGTTATCATTCAGCAATGCCAAACGACAAGATACAGCGACAACTGAAAACCCTCGTAACGTTACTGGTGACATGTAATTTCAGAGCAATTGGGACACCAAAATCAAACTGACAACAGATATAAAAAACCTTTGTTGAAATGTAAAGACGATTGTCTAGGTACCTATTGTCCAGGGAGAGCATATTCGAATAGATGCCACAGTCGAGAAACATTATCCATCTACAAAATGTTTCAAACTGCTACGGTCGCTACTCGCTGGACTACTAAGGCATCCGTCCACCACCCCCATATGAGTCGGGGCATAACGAGCGATGACTGGCCGTCGCGTCCCGGGCCAGCCGCCCGGTGTGCTGACGTCACGCGACCCTGAATTGGAGCGTCGCCGGAGGCAGTCCGCTACCGGCCTCGTACCCAGCGAGGGGGCAGCCCGGACACAGTCACTCATATTCGGAGCACAGTTCCCCCAGATGAGCCGCCGAGCTATCAGATCGCTGATGCTCTACTAGCAGCCATAAAAATTGCTGTTTAGTTTGCGGTTGATGGTTTTATATGGTACAACGTTTCTTTGAGTATGATTGTAATCAATAAAAATGGTAAAATTGACCTTATGCTCATAATATCAGATAAATTAATTGAAAAAAGGTCCAGAATATATTTCCGAACTTGGTTCTT